GGGAGAACAGAGGCTTTACAACAGAGAGGCTTCAGACCGCACAGAGGAATACAACATGTTCTCATGATCTTTCCGTGACATCTGAGGGAACACTAACAGGATCAAAACCTGCCTGGCTTACAGCTCCTCCATGGCAGCACGATCAGTAAGTACGAGAGGAACCTCACAGAATCATAGAAATTAGAGAAGTAAAAGGCCTATAAATGGCCTAATCCATCAGCCAGCCAGCCACAGACTATTCCCTGCTGTATCTCTAGTCCAGGCTCAATAAAACCACAGCAAGCAAGAACACCACCCCAGAATTTGCAATTCCAGTTTCTTCAATGCTTCCAGTTTCCATCAGTGCGAGCACAGTAGTTCACTTAATTTATCGCTCAGCTCTACGAATGAAAGGTCAATAAGTTTATGCAATATAATTACATTTGAAGAGATATTTGATAATCAGTTTAACCCCTCCTATCAAACACTCAAGGGCTGATTTGCATTCATCATTTTTCATAGCATCTTGTTTTTCACTCCAGAGGCTGCGTGACCGCAGCAGGGCAGGTTAACCAGCTCCTATCATTCCAGCACAAACATTGGTGTTAAGAGATGGAAAACTGATATTGGACACGAGAGCAGCCCACCAAACCTTCCCAAAACCACCTTCAGCATGGATCAGGGGATTCACAGAGATGTGGGATTTTTTTAGAGAAGTTTCTGCAACCTAATTTTAAAGGGGATGGTCTCCTCAGATCAAAAACTAAATACATGTTTAGTCACAGTGCCAAGGTGGTGACAAAAGCCGTAGGGAAGGCAGGCGACTGCAGGATGATTTTGGAAGCAGGATCACAACAGCCTCCTCTGGTAGAAACCAACAAATCAAAGTTCTCTATAATGGAGTGAAAAACATTCCACAGCGTGAAAAATCTGCCTGTCCAAATCTTAATAACTGCAAAGCTCTTACGCAAAACAGAGCAAAGTTTAATTTTCTGCCTCAATCTTTACCTTTGCTGAGAAAGAAGATTAGAGAGTAAATTCAAGCATTGCTAACTGTGTCTCAGATGAGGGACATAAACCGTACCGATTTTGGGATGAGACGTTGGCAGTGCAGCTTCAGGGAAGGGTGAAATCTGGCAGTTGTCCTGGTAACTCGGGTAGTGAGGTTCTGGGTGATTGACCCGGCAAGGCTGCTGGACGTTGGTATCTTGAACTGCGGAGGAACAACGCCGTTACGATCGCTGGGCAACACAGCTTCCAGGCACTTCTTATGCTTCGTTCACCCATATTTTTTTTTTTACATTTTATACAATTTCCTACACTCTGTGATAATTCCAGGGGTTGCAAGTGAGAAACAGTAACATGATTTTGCACAGTTAGCAAGCACGGCAACCTTGTACTGATTTCATCTCTCTCTGCTTTCACTTTTAAAGGCAAAGGTTGCCACTGGCTTCCCTCCCACCCACTTATATATTTACAATAATCCCAGGTTTACATAATCCCAAACGATGGTTCTCAGAGCAGGACAGTTCCCTCAGCAGAGCTCACAACCCCGTGTATGAATCATACCGAAAGAACTGAAATATGTGTCATGTAGTTATGTTTTGTTTTATTCTGACACTTTTTTGGCATTTTTTCAGCATTTTTCACTTAGTTTCAACACTCAGCTGGTTTTCTTTTTTTGGTAGTATTTTAGGACGAAAGAGGAGTGAAAAAAATTACAGAGATGACCATAAACCCCTAGAAATCAGCAGTGGACATTAGCAGCTGCAACATCCGGACAAAACTTTTCACTTCTTTTGTGCAACTGGTAAGTCCTCAAGCTGCTGAAATCATTTCAGAGGAAGGATGGTGGGTTACGTGTAGTCTCTCTGTAAGCTCCCAAGAAAGAAATCCCTCGCGCCGCATTCAGAATGCTGCTTCCTACAGCAGTGGGCATTGAAGCCTTTTTTCCTCCTTCTCCCGGATGCCCAGCAGACAGACGTACACCTGAGCTCTTACCCGCCGCTCCAGTGAAAACATCACCCTGGGACGGGCTTTCCGAGATAATTGCCGTGGCTTCCACTGTCGATGCACGGTCAAATGTCAGAGCACCGGAGGTAGTGATCTGTCCAGAAGGAGTCACGGTGACTGGAAATATTAGAAGTACTTTCATAATTAACACTCAGCGCGGAGGCCTCGGTTGTTTAGCTGTTGATATCCCTGTTCTGAATCATCCAAAGCCAGAGAACTCACAGACCAGTAAATGGCCTGTGATAACCCCAAACTGGGTCACGCCTGGGACCAATACAATTGGAAATGGGAATAAAAGCCCCATTTGGCTTCTGAAGGCACTGCTGGCCTCCTGCAGGCCACTGCTTATTCTCTGGGTGGATGAGGCCAGAATTTTCACTTACTACACACTGCCTCCCAAATCAACACCTTTTCAATGATTATATCAGCAAAAACTTAACACCTACCAGAAAGATCCGGCAGGGCCACAAAACCCATCAGCTCCTGGCTGATTCTGATTTATTACAACTTTAGCAGAGTTGATCTTACTATATAAAGTGACATAAAAAAGCTGTGGGTTACAACAAATTCCATGACAGTTTGGTTGGCTGGACAATTTTAGCTGACTCTCTACACAGAGCAATATAATGTGCTTGGCCAATGCACAGAACAAGTGACAAAGCCCTTTTGGATGAATATACCCGCATGGTTCCGAAGTGCTTAAACCCCTTTTTAAACAGGATTCATTGATCTGGCACCAATACTTGCTAATGGGCTGATTTTGTGGCACACTGCTCAGCCAGAAGGATCTTTTTGCAAACAATAATTCAATTTTAAGACATCGAGGCTGCGGATCCATGCCTGGTGAAATATGGGGCTACTACCAAAACAAGCAGCCCTCCTCTCTCCCAATGCCAGCACGAGCAAACGTGCAACCTCACAGCACCTCACATTAATGAACCAATACAGATTAACCCTCTTTGGGGGACAAAAAAAAAAAAAAACAAACCAACCTAAACTCTCTTATTTCTCTTCCTGCTGCTGCTGGTAATCTAATCTTACTTTTGTCTGTTCTTTTAAGGATTTCTGTTGCTTCCTCCTCGATTCACTTTGTAATGTTACCATCCAGATGATGCTAGTGTGACGAGAGCAGGAGGACACATGAATGTGACTGGGAACGTGTGAGCTGGATGAGCTTGCAAATTAATTTCTGTTCTCACACAGATGGTTTGACAATCAAAACCAGTAAGTAACAAAGCGTGTCCTGAATCTTAGAGAGGAATTTGCAGATGAAAGCGTCACCTTCTGGCTCTTTCATTAACAACTTTCAGGCTGTGGATTTCTTTCCAGCTGCTTAGAGCCTACTTTTTGATGTATTTCAAGAAACAGCACAAATCTTACTCCATAGCCCTAACCAGCTTCTAAAGGACAAACCCCAAGCTCAGGGGATGGAATGGGGATTTCTGGCAGAGCCGAGAAGGGCCAGCTTTCCCCTCAACCCAATTTTAACAGGAGGAAATTCCTCAATTGTCATTTGTGAAAAACCTGCCTGAAACCCACTATGGATCAAGGCCAGGACTCCACGACTCCCCCTGCACTGCCAGGCCAAGAGAGCAAGTAGAGGGGGGAAATATAATCCAGACGTCTCTCAGAACAAAATATAAAACCTACTGCTGCTCACTGTGCAAGGATGTTAAGATGTTTAAACCAAGTCTCCTGGAGGTCTAGAGCTGCACTTTTTTCCTACTAAACTTGCAGTCCCAATGTGGCAGCACTGTGCTAGTTTCTTCTTACAAAATAGGAAGGGAAATTAGCTAAAGACACTGAGCCAATAAAACTATCCAGTGAAAAGGAAGTGGCAAAAAATAAGACATTTTTCTCAGTTGGCCACTTCCAAGGGGCCACTCATAGCCATAAAATATCTAGTGTGGCAATTCTTCATCAAAAAAGGGAAGCAATTTTTACCAAAGAACCTACATGTAGTAGCAGCTGTGGCGGGAAGCAGAGTGATGTTTTTGGGGCAATCCTTCTTCACAGGAGTTGCAGGCATTTCATTTTCTTTTTTCCGCCTTTTGTATGGTACAAAGAGTCGTACAGGGCCACTCTAGACAAAACAGAAAAAAAAAAAAAGGGAAAAGAAAAAAGGAAAAGGCATGAACTGGGGCACCAATCTGGGACTTTGGGTTTACTTCCCATCTCTCCAGATGCAGCCAAGGTCAAGTATGCCCATGGAAGAGGTGTGGTTTGCAACAATTGACCAAAACCCTCATACTTCTCCAAACCAAAAGAACTCCATGAAAAAAGAGTTACACTCAGCTCCCTCCAGCTGAAGAGGCACAGGTTTAGCATCTTCCCACTATTATTTAAGGAGCAGAACTGGGCAAATAATTGACCGGGCAAGGCAGTGGGAGAAAAGAGAAGAAGAGTGAGGAGAAGACAGGAAGCAGGCAGTTTCAGGTCTAGGAAACAAGCAAATCTTCCAACTCATAGCAGAAAAGAAATGCAAAGTGCTACTTCAAGTCAAGCTAAAGACTTCTGCTTTCAGGACTTCAATCTAATTTTTGAAACAAAAAACCAACCAACAAACCAAACCCCAAACCAACCAACCAAAAAACCCAAGGAGTTTAATATGAAAATATAGATCCAACATAGAGTATTACACTGCTTCCTTATACCAACATTTTTTCCAACTCAAAGAATTGTGACATCTGAGTCCAAAAAATCACAAATAGTTTTGACATCCCCAATAGGCATTTTGCATAAATACATTATTTAGAAAAGAAAAAAAAAAGAAGAAAAAAGCAATAACTATTACCCAGTTTTAGTGAGGCTGCTACGCAACAGCGTTAGCAGTTCCTTATCTCCTTTCTTTACAAAGCCTGGAGACAGCATGCTGCCACCACAGTACTTGCCAGCATTTCTAGGACGCTCATGGCCTGCTTGCAACTTGCAACTTGACCGATTAATTGTTTTTAAACTAATGGATGTAAAGCCTACAACTCACCAGCGTCATGTCGTCGCAGCAAGCAGCACAAGTACAAGAGGCAGCATGAGGATTTAAAATCCCGTCCTGAAATTAGAAGATTACTAGTTCAGCATTAGTCACCAAAATCACCGAGAGCATGACTGTATCCAGCTGAAAGATTCAGGCAGAAAATCTTTCAGAGAGACATACCCATTCCCTCAGAGAATCTTTCAGAGAGACATACCCATTCCCTCCTAGGAATATGGTAAGAGAGAGGCCAGCTCCCCTACATCACAGCAATGGGGTGAGCAGATAGGAGGAGAGTGAAGGAAGAACAAAAAATTTTCCAATCAAAAGGCAAGGGTATGTGAATTTGAGACTTTATAAAGTTTCTGCCCAAGCAGAAATCAACTGTCAACCTAATGGCAATGCCAAATTCTCCACGAGACTCCTGGACACTGCAGGAAATAAAGGACCTGAAGTAATACTCAATAAACAGTGCAAGTGAGGAATATGTTTGTCAGGCAAACGGGACTAAGCAGATTGGGTTACTGAATTACAGAGTCAAGGGTGAGAGCTCACTTCTCAATTTCTGCGATGCAGCCCAAGGCTGGACTTCACCCTGCATAAACCACAACCCCTTTGCAAGTGCAAGCAAGAGTTGTACTGTGCCATTTGAAACCACATCTAGAAAAATTCCTCTCACATCACTGATTCTCAACCAAATGAAAATGTTGCTTCCACGGCACCATCACACATAACTTTGCAGAGGCAGCGCACACGGCTTGGACTGCAGCGCTGGGCAGACTCTGCCCAGACCCCACCCGCCCCTTCCGGCAGAAAGGAGGGAGCAAACTTAACCTTACGTGAATAAGGCACTGCAGTGGCCTCCCAGCATAGCGGATGCTCCTCTTCCAGTCTTTGCTGCTGGCTCGTCCTGCCATAGCTTCAAATTCAGTGGGGCTGTACCAGTTGTCCCCCTGCTTAATGCACCTACCACGGCCTCCTGAAATAAAACAGAAGAAAGAAATTGTTAGTAAAGGTTAAGAATCATTTTGCCGTTGCCCTAGAAAAGTAAATACTGAAATTGCTGGACAAAATAGCAGTTAATCTATAGCAATCACCAAATATGCCCATCTGCTACTTCTTATCACTCCAGGATAACCATGCCCATTTATTATCTTGGCTGTGACAATGTCTGTGCATGTTTAGAGAGCTCCAACTTTGGGCTCCACCAATGCATCAAAAGGCTGGAAAAAATTACTCGTCCACAAGAAGGGTAAGTCTTTCTTGGACAAACACCGTGAATTTAAGCCCTTTCTTAATTTGCACTTAAGGTTCTAATCCTTGTGGTCACGAAGAAAACTCTCTATCCATGCAGCAAGCGCTGTGCTGTGCAGTCAGGCTTGCCAACAGGCAATTTCTGCTGCTGCTTCTTCAGCTTTCCCACCGCGACAAAAGAGAAGAGGAGGGGCTAAGGCAGCTAAGGAAGTCCCATTAGGAGACAAACTCTCTGTTTGTGTTCCAGCAGGGATTCTGTGGAGCTTTGTGGGAACACGGGTCTGCTTCTGAAAGCAAGCCAGAGGAGTCAACCTATTTCCAGGAGACTCACTGCACAGCAGCCTGTATCTTCACAGGTTTAAGAAAAAAGTTTAAAAGCCTCTGAAGAAAGAGCAAAGCAGAAGAGAGCAATAACATCAAAAGGGACTAGGCTGGCTAGTAAACTAATTTTTTTTCCTCATAATTGGCTCTTAAAAGTAGCCTGACTAAAAAAGAGTGAACCGAGTGAAGAAAGAGCTGTCATACTTCCTTGCCCGGGAAGGTGGTCGTTACCTGAGCCGAGTCTGTTTTTATACAGAATGCCACTGATATTCCGGCACCTCACCGGGAGCTCGTTCTCATACACAGACGGGTCCCAGTTATACTTGGTTCCAGTTTTCTCTTGGACGGATGTTAAAGGGGTGGGAGGAGATTGCGGTCCTTTGAAAAAAAGAAAAGAAAGGTGACAGCAACCAAAAAGCACACTGGCTACACCTTCACACTCTCAGCTTGACTGGGGCAACAGTGTCAAGTGGTTAACTGAAGCAGCTGGCACCCCTCCACAGCAACGTGAGTTACATGGTGCACCAGGAAAAAATTCAGCTTGAACGTTCTGAAAACGACTGAAACCAAACCAGACTGCATCTGAGGAAAGAGGCTCCAACAGCGCATTGAACGCGGAGGTTGTAACTTGGAGTGGTGTAAGCAGCTGGCTGGGCCTTCCCCTTCCCAGAGGCCGATGCTGTAAGGTGAAGCTTTGCCATGCCATCTTGTGGGCAAGAAAGCAAACTGCCAAGCAGCCGGGAACAAAAAACTTAGCAATAGAGACATTGGCTATTGTGACACCTTATTTATCTGATATTATCAGACACTTTATTTGCTATTATTACTGATATTTATCAGCAAGCAGCCTGAATGGAGGTAAAACTATATTCAAGGATGCTTTAAAAAGAACCCGCGTGCAGAGCCAGAAGACTCATATTTTTATTTTCAATATTAGAATGACCCATCTGCCTTTGGGGATGGGTATAGAAAGGTATAGAAAGGCACGCGACAGCCCAGCAGCAGGGCAAGATTTTTCAAGAAGCTTATTTGCAAAGGGTAGGGCAAAGAATAAGAAAATTAAATATATTTCTGACAGGAAAAAAACCACAAGAAAATAAGTATTCTTCTACTCCCAAGAAATATGGAAAGTACCATGTGAAGAGGGGACAAATGATCCCTGTAAGGCAACTGCATAATATTATGCACGTAATGTTTTTTAATCCTAGCAAAACAAATAAAGTGGAGAAAAACCGACCCCTCCGGGAGAATGACACTTCAAAACCAGATTGCCTTATACCTGGTGTGAGAGGTGCTGATGGCCCCTTCAACCCTGTGGTTTCTACAATGCTGCCGTCTGTGTGAACCACTATGAGAGTGGCTTTTTCAGTATTCAAGCTGTCCCCAATTTGGAGGGCCGTTCTCCCAGACTATAGAAGAAATAAAGAGTTTAAATTGATAAGAGTTAAAATACCAACGTATTTTAGTATTCCCCCAAATCTTCTCAGAGGTACCCTAAACCACCAATCAGTATGGCAGTTACTAGGATAGTTTTTGAGGTTTCAGCCAACCAAATCCAAAGGTTACATGTTCCAGGTCATCAGTTCCGCTACAGAATGAGCATACGGGGGCGGAAAGGTAAAAAAACCTCTCCAGCTAATAAAGAAAAAATTGTATGTCCCCCAGGTAATGGTTTTGTACATTGCAATGAAAACGTTATCTTTGACCTTACTACAGCTTGAACACAAACCACACTCTTTGTTTACACTAAGAAAGCCCGTGGGACTTTGCTAAGGCCCTCAAATGAAAGGACAGACTTACCAACACGTGTCCCGAAATTGAAGCTGCATTTGCCACAGATGTAGTGAAAACATTGTCTGCGGAGGCACCAACGTTGGCTACTGTCACTGTGGTGACTTCTGAAACGTGAAACAGACATGAAGTTAGTATTCTGCTGCATCAAGAGCCTAAAAAACAGCTGAACACCAGAAAATATAATTGCATTTCCTTCTTCCTTTCTATTCAAGTTTATTTTTCATGACACCTTTAAGTTGTTATAAACACAATCATTCTGATTTTTATTAAGCTTTGGGTTGAACGTGCTTTAACCTCCTTGAGACCATAACAGTAGTTACCAGCATGTGATGAACTGAAGGAAAAGTGAGTATTACATCTGTTCTAAAAAAACCCCCAAACCATGACGCTTTTTATTAAAAGAGGGGTGAGTGGCAAACATCAAGATAAAGAGAACACCTGGCTCTCCCTCTGCCATATATTCATTTCTAGGGTGCCGTTACCTGTATGCTTGGTCTGGTTAAAAACCGGTCCAAACTTACAGCCAAATGTTTCTACCATGTGTAGCGTATTTGACTGCCTAGCTGAAGTCAGAGGTTTCCCAGTACTGCACATGGAGTAAGGGTGAAAAAGCAACACTGAAGCTCACAGGGAGATACCGGTCCAGGTACGAGGGGCTCTGACATTTTCTGCATACGCCTTGCCGTCAAAACTGTGTGTTTCAGGGCACTTTGTTGATGGGACATAGGGCCAAAGTAATTTTAGATGCACAAAGGCGGCTCTTGCTCATTTTACTTTACATTACGTGGTGTAAAAGTGAGGAGCGTGTGACTCGCGGCTCTGACATTTTCTGCATACGCCTTGCCGTCAAAACTGTGTGTTTCAGGGCACTTTGTTGATGGGACATAGGGCCAAAGTAATTTTAGATGCACAAAGGCGGCTCTTGCTCATTTTACTTTACATTACGTGGTGTAAAAGTGAGGAGCGTGTGACTCGCCAGGTCTGCGGGAGCGACTCGAGCCTCGGCTC